GTTTTCCTTCTATAAAACAGACATTAATACATAGGTCAAGGCAGACTGGTTCACAGACTCTCCTGTTTTGCCGATCCGGTGCTTGAACAAATAACTACACCCCTGGCCGAAATTTCCCTAAAATGAAGTCAGAGTTTGAAATAATGTATGTATTTCCCCAAATAAACATAACAGCCTGCAATGAAACGGCTGTCTCCTGTGTGCTCCACTTCCTACTTTCTCCTTCTCTCTCTTTTTTTTTTCTTTCACATTATTTTAAAAAGTAAAGTCCTTTCGAGTCATCTGTCTCAAGCCGAAGTCAAGTTTCAAGTCATAAATTCAAAGTCAAGTCTTTTATCAATGTTAGTCAAGCAAGTCTCAAGTAAAAAAATATGCGAGTCAAGTCATGTGAATCGAGTCCCCCACCTCTGGTATATACTTTGGTTAGAATATTGCTGTATTACTGTATCACATTTAATACAAATATAATAAACACAAATAGTTGATGAGTAGTATTTTGTTAACTCAAGGTGGATATTAAGTGAGTTTTTATTGTGTTAACTTAAACTGTATTTATGCTTTTTAGATTGACTTTCTCTCTTTCTCTGTCCGTCTGTTCTAGAAACTGAAAGGAAGAGAGACACGTCACAGCTGTCAACAATGTGACAAATCCTTTACAACATCTGGAAATTTAAAGATCCACCTGCGTATTCACACGGGAGAAAAACCGTACAGCTGTGAAGAGTGTGAAAAAAGGTTCACTAGATCAGATAATCTCAAAACACATCAGCGTATTCACAAGGGAGAAAAACCGTACAGCTGTGAAGAGTGTGGGACAACTTTCACTACATCAAGTCATCTCAAATCACATCAACATGTTCATACTGGAGAAAAACCTTACAGCTGTGAAGAGTGTGGGACAACTTTCACATCATCAGGTGCTCTCAAATCACATCAACGTATTCACACGGGAGAAAAACCGTACAGCTGTGTCGAGTGTGGGACAACTTTCACTACATCAAGTCATCTCAAAAAACATCAACATATTCATACTGGAGATAAACCTTACAGCTGTGAAGAGTGTGGGGCAACTTTCACTACATCAGGCAATCTCCAATCACATCAACGTATTCATACTGGAGAAAAACCTTACAGCTGTGAAGAGTGTGGGACAACTTTCACTAGATCAGATGCTCTGAAATCACATCAACTTATTCATACGGGAGAAAAACCTTACAGCTGTGAAGAGTGTGGGACAACTTTCACTACATCAAGTTCTCTCAAAAAACATCACCGAATTCACACTGGAGAAAAACCGTACTGGTGTGAAGAGTGTGAGAAAACGTTCACCAGATCAGATGCTCTCAAATCACATCAACGTTTTCATTCGGGAGAAAAACCTTACAGCTGTGAAGAGTGTGGGACAACTTTCTCTACATCAAGTCATCTCAAAGCACATCACCGTATTCACACGGGAGAAAAACCGTACTGGTGTGAAGAGTGTGGGAAAACGTTTACTAGATCAAGCAATCTCAAAGCACATCAACGTAGTCATACTGGTGAAAAACCATAGAGGTTTTAAGAGTGTAGGAGCCGCAATTAAGCATTTTTTCAATAAACAATTCCCATCTATTGGCCATGTGTTGGGTAATCCTTTTTTCAATTACAGATCCCATCCCAACAGTGCCATCTGTTGATGTAACGTCAGATTTGACAGGCATAATGTTCACTGTTCCTTTTAGTTTATTTTTCTGGCTGTCCGTCTGCCGAGAGCACACTGTTTCAAACAGCTGACATTATTACAGCATTTAAATCCAAGCCATTGTCCAATACAGCTTATGTATCCAATATACAATCCAGCTTTAATGCCCTTCACATACCCGGCCGCTTTCCCAGCCTTGGCTCTCGGCGTCTCCTTTCGCCGTCTTGATGAGCGCAGGTGGTGACAATCTCAGGCTGATTGTGGCATGTTGTCCAGCTGATCCGGGATGACTGTCGGTTGTGAAGTAATCCAATTGTTTGTCTGGTGAAAACGATCCTTAATCCAATGCGATATGTTTCTTATATTGTCTGGTTTCACTCATAGAGTACGATTCTACTTAATGTAATGGCAATTGAAATGTTCCAGTGTCTTCCAGACTCGCAACCCTGCATATTTGTTGTGCTGGGTACTGACTAAACTTCTTTACTCAAGTAAAGTAAGTCGAGTCCTGTTAGTGTCCCAGTCGAGTCCTGTTAGTCGCCTGGTCGAGTCCCAGTCGAGTCCTGTTAGTGCCCCAGTCGAGTCCTGTTAGTCGCCTGGTCGAGTCAAAGATATAATCTCTAGCGTCGTGTATATATATAGCGAAGCTTGCAGCCACCATTTTTATAAACAGCATTTTTGTTAACAGAGGAGCTACAAAAATCCAGATCCAGCAGCGGGACAACTCGCAATATAAAAGTGTTCCAGGAGGTCGCCACACTGATGTCCACAAGCGGTTACTCGAGGACTGTCGTGCAGTGTAGGGAAAAACCTCAAAAAGATGAAGAGTGAATATCGCTTCGTCAACAAGGATAACAACAACACGAGTGGTGGTTTGAGCTAATGGCTAGCATTGGGAGGGAGGGAGGCCTGGACTCTGCAACGGAGTTACTGGAGTCTCTGCATGGTAAGTTTTTGCTAACGCTCTGTTATTTGCTTGAAAGCGTTGTGTCCCTATCTGTTCTAAAGCTCACTTCTAACAAAGAAGTCTATTTTATCCTTACATTTATGTTCGATAACCCATGCTTTTATGGAGCCCCGAAGGCTAGCTAGCTAGCTAAGGCAGATAGCATTAGCTAGAGCTATTGTTTGCTAACACCACATGTGCCATTTGTTTACGTTCAGTTTTTCTTTTCTATAGTTGTTGTTGCTATTTTAGTATTGTGCTGCAGTAGTTTGTGGAATTAACAAGTCATGTTTCTGTTCTAGATGATTACATTGGGACTAGCGAGGAGGAATAGTCCCGAACAACGCCCTCCGCATCAACAGAACAAACTCCAATTCGACCACAGACACCAACGCCGAGCGCCAGCTCGACACCGCTGCGTGTGGTTCTAGGTAAGAAATAGGCTGGAATTGTGACTTTTTTTAAATCCATAGTGAGTCCACGTAAAATAAGCTATACCACTGTGTGGGAATGCTCTGTTACAAGTAAAGTAATATATTATCACAATCATTGTAAACATCTAGGGCCATAACTTTCTTTAGTTCATCCTTACTGTTGTTCTGTTTATACATTTTATCCTGTGTTTTTCATTCTTATTGCTAATTGTTATTGCTATAATTATCTTGTCACCCAGGCAAGAGGAGGAGAGGAGGAGAGGATCTGGCCCAGCAGGAACGGCACCTGGTCCAGCAGAAGGAAGACCGGGCCCAGCAGGATCAGCACTTCAACCGGACCTTGGGGGAGGCGAGGGAGTTGGAAGCAGCCTTGAGAAGGGAGGAGATCGCTCAAGCAGAGACCTTTTAATTTAGCCTTCCTGCGCACTCTTGGCCAGGTGCTAGGGGGAATGGGCAGCTGACGTGCCCCGTCTCCTTCGCCTCTGTGATACAACAAATAACCTCTGACTGAGATTATATTGTTTATTTACATTTGTATTTTCTTGTTTATTTTTTATCTTTAAAATGTTTATTTTTACAATCAATGCCATGCCTTTTTATGCTGCTGCAACAAAACACTACCCAAATGGGGATCAATAAAGTACTTCTTTGACTTATCGCTTGTTGATAAATAATTGCTCCCAACAGCGATCATACAGAAAGATGGCATCATCTAGGCGTCCCTCTGCAGTCAGAAATATAAACACCATCATTGTCCACAAAGCACTGTACAGGGGTTTATGGATTTAAGAGAATACTTATCACAGTGAAACCTTTATCATCTGTTGCAATTAAAGCAAATAAGAGAATAAATACTTGGTTAAACAATACATTTTAACTCTTTTGCAGGACAACTCTGCATACTGTTTGAAATTGAGTTTGCTAGCTTGAGGTCCTCCTCTAAAACATAACATTACATATTTTGTAATGGTATTAAGAATACATGATAAATAAATAATACATGTAAACATTTCTCAATTGTAATCCTCGTTGTGCTAGACTCAAACAACACATTGCTTATATATTTCAAAGAGAACAAAAGAAAAAACCTATACAAAAAGAGCGGTGCACAGCGCTTAATATTTACTTGCACTATATTTCTGTTTATCTGTTATTGTGTTGCACAGTTGGAGGAGCCTGTGACCTAAGATTTTCATTGTCAAAACTACACTGTAGCT